AACAACCACGGTTGGATTTTTTTCACAAAATTGCTCCCCATAAAAAGTGGCACTCAAATTTGTACCCAAAAAAAATGAAAGTCTATATTTTTTAATACATTTTTATACATAAATGTACCTAGACGAAATCATCATGACTAAGTCATGTACATGAAGTAAGAGTTATGACCTTTCTGTCATCCATTTTTATTCTGCATTTTTGTCTTAAATATCAAGTGTTGACCTTTAAGTCTGAAACACACTCTTCAGTCAAGACGATATTTCAGTACTGTCCGTATGTGAAGTGGAGGGAAAAAAACCCATGTCCGTGCTTGGACTTCCCAAGAGCAGGCCATTAACACTCAGCTGCTGTAAAACTTGCAGGCCTGGGGGATTATTGCTGACGCCTACAAGGGTTTAGAGTTAGACTTGATTCCAGGTGTGTGAGAAGCTAGGATTAACAGAATAGGGAAGCAGGTAAAGCGGTTTTTACATTAGAATGGTTACTATTAGCATGCTGAATTAGTCATGTTACATGCAACTCGCTATCTGCATGCAATGCATGGACACAGCGCAGATAGATTAGCATTTTAGTGGTTAGCATACTGTATATTTTAGCGGTTAGCATGCTGAATAGGTCATGTAGATGCAACTCGCTATCTGCTATGCATACAGCACATATTCATGTACATGTAGATTAGCATTTTTAGTGGTTAGCCTACTGTAGATTAGCGGTTAGCATGCTGAATACCGGTAGGTCATGTACATGCAACTCGCTATCTGCTATGCATGGACACAGCACAGATACCGGAAGATGCAAGTACATCGCTCGCTACGCATCAATGTTGAATGTTTGATTTTACCTAGAGCTCTGTTTATATTTACTGTTTAAAATCAAGACTGATTTGACTGCAAGAGGCTGAATTATTGTGTGCCATTCGTCTATGTCTCAAAGCAGGATTAGCTGCAGATTCAGTGGTTAAATTAAACTGAAAAAGTGCCGCACTGTACAATGTAGACATGATCGACATGTATTGTACATACCAGCTACATGTAGTTGGCACCGTAAATTTTGTTCAGCTATTATCAGTGTCTGATCTGGCATACATGTGGAACTGGGCAATGTGCATACAATATAAATATTCTATTGTTGGTGTTAGTGTCATACAATTTAATGAATTTGTCAAACAAAATGAAATTTGACATACATGTACAATGTAATTACAAATAACGGTTGTGCTTGTTTCCCAGGAATTTATTGTCATTTCACAAAATGATGAGTAATTCTGTCAACAAGACTTTTCAATAATAACCCAATATGGCAAACATTATAGTGTGAGTTCCTGGTCTCTATTTACTGGTATCTAATTGTTAGGTGCTGGTGTATACATGCTCAAATGTTCAGAAGAGTTTCAACAGACTTGAATCAAGTCTAGTGTCGGTCATTCATGTCTAATGGGGTTGTCAGGTTTTGAGAGGACCAGTAAAGGACCTTCTCTGTTTCATGCAACAGGGCAGGAAGCCACTTGTAGGTAAGATGGGTAAATGCACCAGGCTCTTCCGCACTGGATAAGTGGTTTTAAAGGGAAAACCTCAAGCTTTCCAAAAATGTTGTAATATCTGACTGTTGCCAAATGTATGTGTACACGTACCGGTACGTTGTGTTGCTTTTTTTAAACGTAGATAAGTGTATCATTTGTCATTTGTGAATTTTTTTTTCGTTTGAAGTAGCAAAACTGCTCAAAATCTAAAGAAGGGTGCTTACATGTAACAACTAACTTGACGAAATGTTAGCTCAGTGAATGCTGTATATTCAGAGAAAACAATATTCTAGGATCTCGATTCCAATTCAAAAGTTACCGAGTCATGTTTTGAATTGCGCCCGAAATCAGCGTCCCAGACACGTTCTCATTCAGCCGATTGCAGCTATGCGATGTCATGCACTGAACAGACAAATAGTAGGAACTGTGGGCGTCTGTGCGTTGTGTCAACGCTTGCGCCCACCCATTAATGGCTTCACCGAATTAAAAACGAACTACTACCTGTAGGTCTAACGGAAATTTCCCAAAATGGGTCTTGCATCTTTGGAAATGACCTTCTTTTATTAGGTTTTTTTTTTCAAAATGACAGCAAGCCAGAAAGAATGATTTCACAGTGAGTTTAGCGCCATTAAACCAAGTTTGCTTTTTAACAATAATTTTGTCAGTTATCTTTGGATAGCTGCAAATTGATCTACTCCTCTAATCTCTGGAGAAGGATGCTTTGGTTTGACAATGTTTCCAAGGGGAATGCAGATCAAAAGTATAGTGTTATGCCCAAATGTACTATTTTGTCATGTTTCTTCAAAATTTTCAGTTACATTCCACTTTTCTTGTAAGTGCTGAACAGCGAATTTTGGGGTACACAATTTAAATTGAGCTGTATGAGCAAAGCTTAGTGTGCCATTTGCCCCCCCCCCCCCCCCCCTGTTGTTTTAGTGGAGTTCTGCATGAAGAACTTTCAAAATCTAGGAAATGAAAGCCCAATTCATAAGCTTTCTTTTAGTACAAGATTCATTCAAATAACTCATGTACTTTTCAAGTTACGGAATTTTAAACACAACCACCGTCTTAAAGTTCTGTCCATGGATTACAAAAAAGATGTGCGCTCTTTCAGCAAAACAAAACAATTCACACACATCCCTATGTGATTTGTTTTGGTTTTGCTGAAAGAACACTTACACATGTTCCTTTTTGTGAATTGTGGACAGATCTTTAAAACAGTGGTTGTGTTTAAAATTATGTAACTTGAAAATTACATGAGTGATTTGAATGATTCTTGTACTAAAAGAAAGTTTATGAAATGGGCTTATATCCTTGATTTTGAAAGTGTTACATGCAGAACTTCACTAAAATAATGATCCCGACATTTGGAATGTTTGTTTCTTTACTCACCCTGTACAATGAGACGTGACCTACCTACATGTAGAATGTTGATTGATGTTGCCCTCCATCCATAAGATTGTCAATCTGCTGTAACGTTGCGAGAGCCACTCACACACTATTTACGCCACCATGTTTGTTTGCGTTATACCTCACTTTAATTTCCAAGACAGCTTACCCTGAGAAAGGTCTATAGACCTTATAAAATGGAGTTTTGCGTCAGGGTGATGTGAATCAAATTAGGTTTTGCCCTTCACCGACGTTTAAACACTGTATACTTAGTGTGTTTAATACCTCCCGAGTGAAAGTTGGAAAAAAAATCACTCGGGTGGGACTCGAACCCACGACGTACATAGCAGCGGGTACCGCATAAACTATTATAAGATGGAATTTTGCGTCGGGGTGATATAATCAAATTAGGTGATTTATATGGGGCCATATGATAAGTCTGACGCCTCATACATGTAGGTCCGACGCCTCATAAGTCCGGAATTTCAGACTTATGAGGCATCGGACTTATAAAGCATAAAATATATTTATTCCGCCTCATAGGTCCGACCCCTCATAAGTCCGACATCGGAAAAACGAGGCGTTTAAGTTGTCGGACTAATAATCAAGGCGTCGGAGCCATGAGGCGTCGGACTTACCAGTATGAAGCATCGGACCTATGAGGCGTCGGACTTATGGGCCTTTATTTGGTCAGGGGATGCGATTTTGTCGGACTTATGTCGGACCTATGACATGTACAATGTATGAGGCGTCGGACTTATGAGTGGACCCCATTTATATCACCCCGACGCAAAATTCCATCTTATAATAGTTTATGCGGTACCCGCTGCTATGTACATCAGATTCGAACCAGCCAACCGATCCCGTTTGCTCGGTGGTCGAGTGGTAAGACATCTGCACTGGAAAGCAGGAGGTTGTGGGTTCGAGTCCCACCCGAGTGATTTTTTCCAACTTTCACTAGGGAGGTAACACACTGAGTATACAGTGTTTAAACGTCAGTCTATAGACCTTGCCCCAGACATTTGACCAATCACAGCGTGCACTTGTTTTTGCATCTTGCTGGAATGTGCAGTGTGATATTGAAGAGGCACAAAACGCAAATGTACACGTGTTTCATCACGTGCGCAGTGCGCTGGGCTTAATGATCAGTTTATTAATGAAATGTCACAATCTAATGGTACATGTGATAGAAGACTGTAGCCTTTCTTTGAACAAAATACTTACAGTGTACATGTACATACATGTGCAACAACAATCTTTATTCCTGGCTTTCTAGGTCATACATGTATGTACATTATTTTTATCTCACAGCTGAATACTCTATAAATAGGCAAGTTGGCAAATCTAATGAACTACATGTGCAAAGGTTCTATAATCGTGAGCTTCAAAATTGTCTTCAATGGCGTAATTAATTGGCATACCGGGTATACATTGTACGGTATATCCGATAAGTGTACAATACCGGTATAATGTACCGGTATGTATACGTACATATACGTACGCGTTTGTTTATGGTGTAAATCGAGGACACACACGTGCAACATCATCGATTAAGGTACCGGTACACGTACAAAACCAATGAGAGCTGTTGCAAAAAAGTTATAAGTTATAAGAGTACAAACAAAGGAAAAGGGAAGAGGAACAATAGAAAATCCTTGATTTACACCATAACAAATGTGTGCGTACGTACAAGTGTGCATCAGTCAATGGAGCAATACATGTAAGTTGCACAACTTGAAAAATTTTGATTCAACTCCATTGAGTCTTCATGGCCTTCACCAATTTTATAGAAAGATTACATGTACCGGTAGCTACATTGTACATGTATTTACAAGATGGTGTGACGTTTTCCAACATTTGCTGACATAATGCCCTTGTTTTTCCAAAAAACCTATTTTCAACTCTCAGAGAATTTTTAACAAAATAGATCAGTCTTGATAAGTGCCCCGTTCAACAAGTGTCTTTTGAATGTTTGTTTGGTGGAACTTTGAATACCCAAACCTTTGAACCCTCAGTAACAATTACAAAAAAAGCTGCAGCATGTTTTGTCCTAATTGGTAAACTTATCATGTAACTTTGACCTTTTCTTAGCCGTGACTTCTGCTAAGTGCCGATAACAGCGAGAGACCTCCACTCCCTCCGTCCAAGGTCTGAAATCTGCCAACGCCACCGGCCAACAAAAAAAGTGCATTCAATCAAAAGCAAAACGTCAGTCAGCCAGCCCTTCGTGGAACTGAACACAAAATGGCTGCCAACAGTACTAGCGTCCACGTCTCTGACACACAGACATGGGAGAAGAACAAGAAAACAACAGTGAGTATAAAGTTTGGGTCTTTTCTAACATCACCTTCACGTACACATGTACATGTATATGTACTTATCAGTTGAAGTTTTGTATTCGATTTTGGGTTTTGGTTATTTGTTGATTTTTTATATTTTGGTCATGATTTGAACTGCAAAGTTACATTTCCACTACATGAACCACTACACCAGCAAGAGTCCGGCAGTCTCCTGATGACGAGCAGAGCTTCAAAACGTTGAGTTATAACCAACTGGTTCTTTTCAGAACCACACAACTCACTAAGAGATATCTTTCATTCACATGGTGTTACTGCAAACCTCCCATTCATTGATCATCACGCAAACCCTGAATGTAAGTCTTATTTAACTACATGTCCGTTTTGAATCAGTGTACATACGACAATCCCTCCCACATTGTTCTTTTTAGTCGTGTATCAATTGGTGAAATTCCAGCAAGTCATGTTTAATGTTGAGAAACTGAGAAACGGTGTCAATTTTGGATCACTTTACATTTTTGATTCGCATGAACTATTCCTATGCAACGACCGAAGGACCGGACCTCAGTGGTCAACTTTGTTTTGCAACAGAAAAGTGACTGCAATTTGTCAGAGCTATATGTATGTTTCCAGTATATAACATGTAAATTGACCTGGAGTTACTTATTTCTCAAAGTCGGTGATAGGAAAGCAGGTGCAAGTAGGCTACAATGTAGTTCTTCTCGTCATCAAAGACTCACATGAGCATTTTGGAGATGAATGGTACATTTGCGCCACCTTCGCTTGCTACTTTCAAGCCCTAGAAATGTTTTTAAAATCGCTGTCAGCGTTGGGTATGTATGCAGTGTACCTGGTGCTCAGTGATTCTTCACAATCAAACAAGATATGTACAGGTAGTCTCCTGTCAGACTGATTCCCGCCCACCTCCTTTTGAGAGGCAGGGAACCAGCCTATCTCACTTTGTTCTTTGTTGTTTTGTAAAATACCACAATGCTTCGCACATTGTTGACTGGTGTACAGTTACATGGTTCATGCCTTTGTTGAGAAATTTCAGGCTTTGTCTTCAGCTTTTAGCTTCAGATTTTAGCTTCATTTTTGACAATAAAATGATTTTGAAGCCTTTATGTCCAAACCAAATAGAAATACTCTAAACTGTGGCTGCATTATAAACTACAAGATTTGCAAAATATGGACCCTAGCTTACTCAGCCAGAGTCCTCCAGGTCAGGGGTGTATGTAAGGCTGCATCCGAATCAACTGGCTAAAGCTAGGTCTAGGTCTGTGCCCATTGAAAATACGCGGGGACGCGCTGACAATAGACGTAGCCGTAGCTCTGGAAGCCCGTTTCGGACACGGCCTAATACAGTACATGTGTAGGCCTACACCGCGTTTTTTATTGTTAGGCAAATTAGGACCAAGGTATTAGGACTTTCTGCTGCCCCCACAGCGTTTACGGTCCCCACGAAAACCTTCATGTACCGTACATGTACATCATGTAGTTGTCCCACAATTATGTAAAATCTCCTGGTGTACATGTGTATTGCATTACTGCTGAACATCGCCCTCCTGAGATTGTGAATGGATCCAATGGATTCGTTGATGATCACCTGAGCAGTGTTACAAGGTCCGCAGTCAGTTAACTTCTTTACTTTATGTAGGCCTATTTGTTATTTGCATTCGGAAATGCTGATGATTTAGTTTAAGTCAGGGTATGCAATAAGCCAATGAACTTTGTGTTGGCAAAAAGGCACTCCCTTTACTTCATATCACTCCAGCTTGCAATAATCTGGCTGTAATCTCCATGATAAATCGTGTTAGTTATGCATGTGTTGTAAAACCTCGAAATAAATTCAACCTGTTTAATCAGATCCTGTGTTACTTAGAGGACAGATCTCTGCAGATAGTAGTATTTATAGAAGGCAAGCAAATTGAAGCACGCAAGATGATGACTCAGTGTGTTGGCGGACAGTCTTTTTGTATCACGAGTTCCCAGCCAGTTTATAAAAATAAAACTCACCGCAGCCCTGACGGAAATTCCTATTTTGGTCTTGTGTTTAAGTCAGTCGAGTCACTGGCTTCCCCCTTTCCCCAGTGATATCATGAGGGGGGCTATTTTTATAACCAGCGGGAAGTTCTTGGGACAAGACGCCAGGTTTTTGCTGCACACAAAGACAGTGCTGGGGAAGGTCGGTTTTGAGAGTTTGTCAGAGTTGGACAAGCTGCATCTGTGTTCGCAAAGCATTTGCTGATGGGGAGTTACACGTACCTCAAACTGCATGTTTACCAACAAAGACAAGTTAAGTTTCTTCAAAAGAACCTGACCACAACCGCGCAAACGCAAAGAACCTGATGACTATCAAAAAGGGTTACCGCTAATGAGGATGCTGCAGATGAATAGGCAGATTTCACATCTGTCGTACCACTAAGATTATCTCAACCATGCTGTCAGTTCCATTTACATTTGCACCATGACCCCACCGGAGCTCTGAAAGGAATCAAAATGACAGGCATGTACATGTTCATGTATGTGTTCATGTAGATTTTCTTTTACGGAATCGGCATTTGTGAACTTCACTAGGAGTGGTGTACTATGCATCAAGCCAGAGGCATAATAGGCAGACAACAGAGCGGCTCAACTACAAAGAATACAGGAGACTGTAACCATCTAGGACATCAGTCAAGTCATCTGGTGCTTTGGATAACTCCTGGAGTGGTTTGTCTTTTGTCAAACCTATCTTCAAATTCTGTCGCAATTTTGTGTGCATTGGCTTTACAGAATTGCCTTCTTGAATTGAACAGGTTGCAAATCAACTGCTGTTCATCAGAACTGAGCTGTCTGGAACAACTTCCACATGGTAAACAAGTGATTTTCCATGTGCTGCTTGATTGAAAAAGCATGTTTTACATGTATTCACTGTAACAAACAAGTTGAACTGCAACTTTACTCTGAAGCTGTGAACAAATTTTCAGATATTTCGGTCACAAGTATTCTTGGAATTGATAGACTTTCAGACTTCAATGCTTTGTTCCAAGAAGTGTTCACATTATATACTGCAACTAATTGCCACATCCAATGAACAGATAATCTCAACGGGTTTATTTGTTTGTGCAGAATTGCTGGATTTGTAAAAGTATTAAGTGAGTTCAAGTCAGACTTCATGATGACATCAACGCAACTGTTCACAGTACAAGTTTTGTCTGCTTTATGTCATTGTTAATGACATACAACATTGACTTTACGAGATATGTACTTATCGGTCAAGTCTTCTCCTGAGGTAGATGCATGTGCATACCTCTTTGCTCAAACGAAGCCTAGTGCTTTTAACTGCTGGATAGCTGTTCGTGCTTGAAGATTGATAGTCAGACAACTCGTCTCAGTTGTACTGTGATATAACTCATCATCTGTCCAGTGTTCGACATTTGTCCAGTGTTCGACATTTTTGTTCCATCAACAACTTTTTCAGTCAACTGTCTTGCCTGTACCTCCTCCACCATGCCGATCCTGGTCAAGCTTTTGTCTGTCTGCATGCGTCCATACAATCAATCCATTCTTAACAGGAAAAAGGTAAGCATATTAAAACTGACTTTCTTTTTGCAAAAATAAAAAAATAACGTTGAAGGTCTCTTGCCAAATCTTCATGTCAAAAAAAGTTTGTGACTGTATACCGGTAGTTTCCGCATTGAACATGCACAGTTGTCATTTTTTTTTCTCAGAAATCATGATCTACAACTGAAGAGTTTTGGCTGTGTGACCAAAAGATCTTTACATGTGCATCTACAATGTGCATGTATCTATATTCCAGAACCTTTCTTTGCTGCCCATCTCACCTGCTGGAAACCTCCAAGAATATCCTCCTCACTCCTAAAAACTTGGATTTTGATCTCATAACTAGCTGTTGAGTCATTCCAAAACTGCAGCAGAGGAATTGTCCAATTAACCAAATCACCCAGCCCTAATACCCTATCATCGTTCTTGACTTCAAGTTCAAAGAGTTCACCCTTTCAAAACCTGTACTGCAAAGACCATGGTCTGATTTACTCTATTTTTGTTTAGCACAGTGTCTCATGATCAAGACGCAAGGAAATCACTTGACCCTATGCCTCCTTCCCCAACTTCCCCCTTTATAAATTTCTGACACAGCAAAATATAGGTCTTATTGAAGGATGAGAACAGTTAGAGTCACAGTTTCAGACTAGTTTTCTGAATTTGGGCAATGACAAACCGTTTTCGTAGATCTTTCTACCATTGCTTAACACTCCTATACTACCGTAACATGCAAACATACATTCTGTGTCAAGTAGTCCTTTCAGTGAAAATCAATCAAGTGACTGTTTTTAACAATTAAGAATTCCCAGCCTACCGGTACATAAAGCAGGATTGACTGGCCGTGACTGTTTATGTAACTCATGCAGCTTTGCTTTGGCTGTGGGTGATTGATAAGCCAGCTGTGCCCTTAACTTGCCTGCTTTGTCTGTTCATGGTCTGTTGACTGAGTTTGACTAGTCACAGTGCTTGCTTGACATATGATCTGACTGCTGGTGACTAGCCTGTGTTAAAATAATGGCAGGGGAAGTGGATGGAATTTTTGACTGTCTGTGACTGTTTAAATAGCAGGAGGGTTAATAGTAAATACAGGTGTACTTGCTGAGCATATATCAGATGAGAACTAGTCGCAATCATTAACACTCTTCTGCGAATTGCAAAGATTCCCCCTGTGTATTTTAGCAGTGAATCCCATGATTATGATGCATGGGGATGGCAACTGCTCGTTGCTAAGGACTCCGTTTTCTTTTACTTGTCAAAAGTGAGACTGAGTTTACTATTTCAACTGGCTGCTCTATAAAAAAATAATTTGTATCCGTCCTTTGTCTGGGTGCATCCTACTCATTGCCTAGTTCCAATCTACGGTACATGTACGTACCGGTATGCACATTCGTACATGTAGTATTCAATTAATTCAGGATTTATGCCCATATTTGAAAAGTGTCTTACAATGAAGATAGCATTTTTAACCAG